CGAGACCTGCGACTTGCGTTTAATGTAGAACGGCCTTTGAGTTCCACTTTTGTGGAAATACGGCTAAAACCAGCGGCTGAAACCGTCGTAAAAAATTACATTAGGATGGCCGCTCTCAGGTTTCTCTCTGGTTTCATTAGTTCCAATTCCTGTATTTCCTTCATTTCCTGCATTAGTTCGTTCCATCTTGCTTAACTGAACACAGCCTTAGCTTGTGGGTAGAGCGAATTCTTGTGAGCTGTTAATAGTAGAAAGTTGTCGAAAATTCCAGAACGTTACCAATCTACTGTTACCTAACCTGACCTAACTAACCTAGTCTTAATCCCTAACCCTAATCTAACCCTAACCTAACCTAACATCTAACCTTCAATTCTTTCAAATACATGTTGCGTGTGTTGCACTTTCTGCACTCCAAATAGTGCAAAATACAAATATTTAAGAAAACAAAGATAATGAATCTTAATAAATATTGAAAACGTAACAATTATAGAATAAGGAATGTATATTCAATATAAAAAATGTGCAGTCATGCAAGTTCTTTTCTATTAATTAAAATTTAAAGATTGCAAAAGAAACTTGGGAGCAGTCGGCGAAACGTGTACCAATACGATGTCCAGTTGGTTTACAGAGACAAACAGAAACAGAGTTTACATTTTAACAGAAGAAAACGCGGAGCTGTCAGTCTGCTACCGGATGTCAGGCGTTATGGAGCTTTCTGGTGATGATCAAATATCAGAATCTGTCGTTTCGCAAACGGCAGATGATGCGAGAGAAACAATGGATCATCCTTGGAGCGAGCTGAGAACTATAACCGCATTTGATGGTATATACTAGACAACACGTTAATTATCTCGCGCCTCTTTTTAAACCACTTGTCAAATAAGATTAGTTTACATAACGTGGCTTTCGCGCATTTACAGTATTCTGTTTAAAAAGTTCTTTTTCTATTTGGTGTTTTGTTTTATATAAAATACAAGACAAAGTTACACTTTTTAAAAAAATAAATATATATGTTTGCACAATATAACGAACAATTTCGATATTTCTATAATTAACAGAAAAGTAAAACACCTTATTTTTTAAACAGAAATAGTGATTATATATCAGAAAAAAAGAGAAAAAATATCTGCAAGAAAACACTTTTGTGATTGTTATTTTTTGTATGTTTGTAATATATTATATACGTTACATCATGCATGTAATGACTAAAAATTAAATAATAAAATTCAAGGAAAATTTTTTAATTTTTTTAAAGAAAATACTAACAAAAAGTTTGAAATTGAAACATTACATACTTAAGATTGTATGTTTTATACTTTAAAATGTATTTGTTTTCTTGAAAAATCAATTAAAAAAATAAACTAAAATGATTATTTCCACAATAATTATTTCTGTAAAATTTTCTATTACTTTATATACATGCAAATAGGTAATGGGACAAGACTTTCAGTAAGTGATATTAATGGATCAACACTGTCAGTAAATACTATTAATAATGGAAATCAAGAGAATGGGTTCACCCAACGAGTAAATCCCTCAACTAGTATTTTAATTGAATCTCTTGTACACCAATTGTGTGCTGCCTTTGAAAAAAATAAAGAACGCAGGAAAAAAATTTACCAAGGTACTTATAAGAATTATGAGAAATTTATTTCTTGAAAAGATATATAGAAAAAATGATAAATATTTGTCTTTCAGGGATTTGTAATAATTTGTTTAAAGCACAATTGATTGATGGATCCTACAATATGACCGAATTTGATATACTGAGAAAACAACATCGAGATGCTTTTTATAATCTTGTCAAAGCTGCATGTGCTGCCGCTGGAAGTGAAATTCCTTTGAGTATACCTGCGTATGTTCATTTTGTGTATTTTTAAGTTTTCATTACATATAATACGCTTCTAACATTTATATGTGTTTTTGTATGCAGTACACTGCCAAAGTTATCTCGTTACTATCAAGAATTTACTGAAATAAGCTTTATCGGTGATGGTGGATTTGGCAAAGTTTACAAAGCACGGAATTGTCTTGATCGTATAGAATATGCCATCAAGAAGATATTTGTATCTTCTAAACAGATGAAGATAATAAATCAACATCTGAATGAGGTGCACGCACTAGCTAAATTAAATCATCCGAATATCGTCCCCTACAAAGCAGCTTGGATTGAACCATCTTTTATTTCGAGATTATCATCCGCAGATTCTAGATCATATAGGACACAAACAGGAAAACGACCGAAAAGGAACAAATCACGTGACTCAAAAATTTTTGAAGATTCGTCCAGTGACGAAAATTCTTTGAATTCTAAAGACAATACATCAGTTTGTAAAACATCAAGTAACACAACTGGTACGTATAGAGCCATAAATCTCGAACAATGTAAGCTATTAATATCATTAATAATAAAATATTCCAAGAGATTTGTCGGTAAATATTATAGGAAAACAGAGAGTCGAGGAAATAGTAGAAGAAAGCGAAATACAAGAAGAATCCACTTCAGACGAAATATCTTTTAGAAATAGTAATAGTGATAGTAATAGCGACAAAAATGAAGATGTAACAATTGACAATAATAGTGATAATAGCAATTCTGATTCAAGTAGTTCTATGGAGAATACTACTAGCCAAGTGTGCGCCTATTCTAATGGGGTAAGCAGATAACGTATTCTATAGACATGTATAAGATCTAGTCGTAATTGTGGTATAAAAATCAAAAGTAATTTCTCATGTAAAAGTAATTCGTCACTATAGAATAAAAATTTTTTATACGAAATATTGCTTAAAATTATTTTGTATGAGAAAATAACTTAAGAATATTCGCTGAATACATTTAGTTATTATGACATGGACACTTTAGACGGTTCTGTTTGTTTACATTGTACATACGATTGTGTAGTTTGTAAAGCTCGACAAAACATGAAATGTTGAAAATCAATGACCTATAAGACGATAAATACAAGCTGATAAATACAGTACATTCTTATATTTTTAATCACATTTATTTATGAAACATGATTATACGAGATCAGATCTACAAAATTGAAAAAAGAGACTTCAATACTTGTTGTGTTGTGTTGTCTCAGGATCAATATATATATACCTTGTATATTCAAATGGCCTTATGCGAACAAACACTTGAAAACTGGATGCGCGGCAGAATAAATAGAACTCCTCTACCCGTAATTTCTGAAATATTCCAACAGATTCTTCGTGGAGTTCATTATATGCATTCGCAGAATGTCATACATCATGATATAAAAGTAAATGCATTTCTTTTTATTAATGTACTAATATATTAATACACACACAGACGTGCGCGCGCGCGCGTATAACGTACTAATATATTCTGAAATATGTACTAAAACGTGTTTATTTATATTACAGCCAAGCAACATATTTATTTCGTCATCAGGAGAACTTCAGATTCAATTAGGTGATTTTGGTTTAGCTTGTCCATTACAAGGAGAGGAATATCATAACGTGCTTGGTACTCGCATGTACGCAGCACCAGAACAATTAGCTGGAAGATGTGATCCAAAGGTATAGATAGAAAAAACCTTAGTAAAAATTTTTTTTTTTTTTAATATATTTCGTTTAATTTCTTTGTGTGCAGAGTGATATTTACAGCGTAGGAATCGTTCTCACAGAGCTTTTAATCTTAACACGTACTCAAATGGAATTAATTGAAATAATTGATTTTTTAAAATGTGGTAATATACCAGCAAGTCTTTCAACTGATCGATATAAATGGGTGAGGTTTTACAATTTGTACATTACGATATTTTATTTTTTATTTGTGTATTATATTTGATATTTAATGCTTTTGCCATACGGTTCAAAAATTTTTGACTTCCGGGTTCTCAGGCACAAATAATTGTACAAATGGTGCAAGAAGATCCGCAGAAACGACCATGGACGCAGCAACTTTTGCAGGATATAAATGCAGACAAAGATGTAACAATAACCGAGCTGAAAAATACGGTTATGACCTTAAAAGATGATATTAACAGTAAAGAACATGAAATCGAGAAGCTTCAATCTGAGATCGCATTATTAAAAGAAAAAGTTAAAAATTTAGAAACTACCGACTGAGTGAAATGTTATCAAGCTCAATTTTATCATGTATTTGAATTTAAATGGACTTTTCTTCAGGTTTTATTCATATTTCGCTTCGATCAATATACTTTTAGCCAATTATACAATTATATAATTGAATAGTATTGAATATTATACTTGCGTATTAGATATTCAATTACATAATTAAATATTTAATTTTCAAATTATATAATTGTATAAGAACATAAACAAATCTTCCCAGAAAAGTTGACTAAAAAGTTGACTTGCGAATAAAATGACACACTTGTTGTTGTGCGCAGAAACAATTAATTGTTAATTGTTTATATAAGGAATAACTAATCATGAATACGTGATCTTATAAACTATATATTTTTAAAATGTTTATGAAATGGTTTTTAACATTTCATAATTTCAATAAAAAGACAAATTTCTTAAAATAGGAAATACTTTCAGTAATGTCTTGACTCTTTTAAAAAATCTGTTGAATGCAGCAATATGATGAATTCAAACTATTTGCGTAAATGTAATTATACATCAATTTACGTGTTCTGATACTGAAGATGATTTAAGACATTTATGTCGATCATCATTCTTTCTTTGTGTAAATAAAATATCTGTTTCCGCGCACAATTATCCGCATATTTGTCCTTATTAGCCATTTTTTTATATTATTATAGTATTTTTTTTGCGAAAGTGTCTTTGTGTGTGCAACGAGACTGTAAAAAGATATTTTTTATTATACATAACTCGGATTTTAATATTAAATTTAGAATATAATAGAAAAATGCCATGCATATACTAAGACTTTTTCACGATATCGATGCGTACGTTTTATATATATATATATATATAAACATTTTTATTATATTTGTTAAAATATATACAATATGTTCGTATTGTTTCTTAACTTAAAATAGTTATAAAAGTAATAATGTAAAATAGTAAAAAAAGAGAATTTTAGCACTTATATGAGCGAAAACGCAGATATTTTGTGCGATAATATTAATTGATTCTTTATTTTGTTGTCACAAGTGTGCGTGAATATGTATATAAATTTATTACATATGATAGATAAATATAATAGACAAAAGATACTATAATATATACAATAATAGTATATAATAGATAAAAGATAAATTTGTTGTATATGCGAACATTTTATTCTTTTTAGAATATTTTTTCAGCCATGCGATAATATAAAAAATTAGTCATTAATATTCCGTACAAGTATCGAAGTAAGATCTTTGTTATAAGCGAGCAATTTTTTTAATTAATTAATTGAAATAGTGCTAATATCTCGAATACAAGTATTTTGCTATGTTTTATACATATTGTTAGATATCGTTAGATATCAAAGTGCAGCGTATATTTTTATAAGTTTAAATTGTAAACGTATTTAGCTGATTGTCCTTTTTATAAGTTTATTATAAAAGCTCGTAAAAATATTTGAGAGTTCTTATATCCGTGTTGCTTTTGAAGTAGAACAATATTGTAAAACATAATTATTTCATTTTGCTATGTTTATGTTGAAGCATCTCTTCTACAATTGTATCCAATAATGCTTTCAATCGTTGTCCAAAAAATATTCTAGATTTAGTAGAAGTCGGAACAGCACATTGTTGTAAAAAGAACTCTATGTTTGGATGTAGACGTTGAATATGGACAGGAATATCATGAAGAAATCCACCGAGAAATGGACCTTCAATTTCTACATGGGCCAGAAGCTGCAATACATATTGAGTTGCGTTTATATCGGTTTAAAATTATTAATAATATCAATGTAAAGAAATTCGTATGATTGTCGGTTAACAAAAAAAAGTAAGATGGTATATGTTATCAACAATAATGCATTGAACTAAATGCAGCCTTAGCATATATTTTTCAAATAACACCTATATTGTAAAAAGACACAAAATCGTAAAATAATGCAAATAAAATTGTACCTGACAAATTGCGTAGTAATTATGATCACTTAAGTGATGATTACAAATGTCTTCGGCAGAAAATGCAAAACAATTAGGGCAATTAAGATGCATCGTATTTTTGTGTAAATTCTGCCAATTGTCTTTTCGGTCTAGATAGATTAATAGTATGTAAATACATCATATTTACCAATGTTATCGCGACAAAGCACATATACGTTATTACCTTCTTGAGAAATATTTTTGTCAACGACAATAATATTCTCTAAATCGATCAATTTGGCTACATTGTTACAGTCAACAGCAATATTATCAGCAGATACATCCGTTAAGTAAAAACCGAATTTTTTGTTTTCAAAAGTGAACATGTAAGCAGCATTTAAAAGACTTGAAACTATTTTTGCTCTTTGTATCCAAGGTTTGTCGTAATAATCAGAGAGTGGTAATCCAACATATTCCTCTATAATAATTCGGCCACATGACCCAAAATATTTCGGCACAGGCCACCCATTCTCAGCAGGTAATATCTAAAGAAATAACGAAATATAATATAATTACACCTACAGTTAACGAGTAACTATCTTTAAGTTACACATTTCTCGCTATATACCTGAAGAATAAGTGGTTCTGGGTTTACAGAAACCAATGTCCAGAGATTAATTAAATATTCTGTGCGGTCGATGTGCTTATTGTTAAGATGAACATTATCAAACAAATCATCCAAATGTTGCGCTGTTGGACAAAGTCTCAAACGACTGGAGTCATCATTAGAAAAATCATTTGTAATTGCCTTTTGGACGAGATTATAGAAATCTAGCGCATGTAATCTACCCAGTGTAACACTTGAGCAAGGATACTCCAATTGGAATTTATTACACAACATAATGTCAAATTCTTTCAACTCGGAAGAATGTGCCAATTTCTTTAGCACTACTTTGTTATCGTTATATGTTCCAAAGAACACGTTTTTAACACCAAATAAGTTGGAGATTATTGCGTTTATTTCATTCCATAAAAGATTTACTTCATGAATGTTGTGACATGCAGAAACTCCATAGCATACTGGACATTTATGTAATTCCGTCAATTGCGGAATAGAAGGGTATAAATCTCGTGTAATTACATTTAATTGTAAAAGAACAGTGAAAAGGCCAATAAACAACAGTATTTTCCATATTTTAAATTTGAAGATGTTACATATATAATGTAGGGTCTTAGGAATCAACATTCATCTCACTTTAGTCAATTTTTTCTCAAACTATTTTTTTATTCATAACACTGAGTTTATATTCTGAATGTCTTAGTTTTTGTTCAAACGAATAGAACAGAATAAAAATGTAAACTTCTTTTTCACAGAAAAAGAACGCGCTTTACGCTGTCAGGTTTTGTTTTTAGAAAGTATGTATGTAAGCAGAGAGAAACTACTGTAGATCACGTGATAAAATTGCGCTAAATTCAAATCTAATACAGAGGCCATCAGAGTAACATCGGTGTTGATCATCAGTATATTTTATTGTCCAGAAATGAACAAGTAATAAAATGAAATGTTCAAAGTAAAATAATGTACATTCAAATTTTTAGCCATTTAAATGTCTGTATATGTTACATAATATTTAAATTTTAGAAAGAAAAACTCTCGACACATAGAGTATTGCCGGTTAATCTGTCGTGTTGTAAACTATTAAAAGGTTGCTCATTGAGTTGTTTGTTTCCACATGTTTTATTTTTCAAAGTACATAGCATAGCGAGGAGAACGAGATAATCAAAGATCAATATTTCTTAACATTGCTACCCCGTTCGTCGGTCGCTAAGCGACAAACGCGACGGTTCCGGATCTGCTTCGATAATTCAGTTGCCAGGTCTTCGCAGCTAACAATTGACAATATACGAAGAACACGATCGAATCTTGCTAAGTACGTTCGATATCCGAGCCTTACGAAGAAGAATGTCGAACGCAACGTACGATGAACTCTGGAAAACGGCCTATGAGCTACTCACGGAAACAATACAAACGGACACGGTGATTCAGGGCACTAAGCCCCAAAAGGATCGCAAAAAGGCACACGACGTCGTCTCGCCCCTTTACGTGAGATACATTCTCATATGCAACAAACTCGAGGAATGCTACGAACAGATGATACAGCCGCAGAAGCGCCTGTTAATCAGGAAATTGTTGAACGCGGTTCTGGGCCGATTGCTGGAACTGAAACACGATTTGGTCAATATCGATCTTTCGGAGCACAGCTATTACGACAATGTGCTGATCGAGTGCGGCGTGACGCCGCAGGAGGCCGAGATCCAGGTGCCGAGGTATTTCAGACGCGAACGCATCGCGGAAATCGAGGAGAGACGAAAATTTATAGAGAGCACACTCAGAAATCTGGGCGCGCTTCACGAGACCGTTGTTCCCGAAAAAATGACCGAGTCGCAAGCTATACGACTCATTCAGGTACATCCAACGTTTTTTTTTTTTTTTTTTTTTTTTTATAGTTACCCAATAATATTTTACTTGAGAAAAACTCAATTCTAAACTCGTCAGCAATTCACTTTGTATAATGATAATTTTAACGCCAGGCCCACGAACGAGCGAGGCAAGGTAGGGTGCGGTATCAGTTTATGAAAGAAATACGCGAAATGAAAGAAAGATCAATTACAAAGCCAGAAGTGGAGGAAAAGGATGAAGAATGCGAGAGACTCGCGGCGTTGAAGATACAGAAGTTATGGAAAGGATATATCACTAGACGGCGCATTCGTAAGAGACGTCTCGAAGAAATGATGTTAATCGGTATAACAGATAATTTCGATATCAATTTTTGATCAACTAAAATTACGAATTGAGAAAAAAATTGTTTAAAGGGATGTTACAACCTAGTCAAATTATCACGGAGAACGTTCGACAAGTCGAAAGACTGAAGCAGCAGAGATACGAAAAGCAGATGGATTTTCAGCGGCAGTACGAAGATCTATTAATAGAGTTCAAAGAAAGAATCCGCAAAGACAGTAGCGCTATCATGGAGGAAAATATAAGGAGCGAAATTCGAAATTGGATCGACAGTTATTTTCAGCAAACCGGAAAAATACCCGATTTACCGTCCGCAGAAAGTGGCGGTTCGCGGATGATTTTCAGCCGGCAGGTAGCTACATATTCAAACGCGTCACACAATCGCGCGCCTAAAATTTTACGATCGGTTTAAACACTTCAAACTGATTCTGTAGTATAATTACACGTAGTTCTTTATGTACTTGTACGTGATTTTCTTGCAGGGAACCGAAAGCACTGTGAGCAAGTCCACAGCAGTGTCGTCGAAGGAATCCAAAAAGTCGAAACGTTCGAAGGAACGTTCGAAGAAAGATAGCGACACAGAGCAATCGGAAGACGAAACGGATCTAGGATTTAAATCAATTCCTTCTAACTTCCTGTCGGAACTTACTAGCGCGAATCAGGAATATCAGGACGTTTGGAAGGACAAGGACGAATCCGCGAATCCGATGCAGCTGCCTTATCGTGATATGATAGAAGCGGAGAAGAGAAAAGAAGTCGAGGACGAAGTTAGAGTGGTTGTGGACCAAGCGATGAGAGGTAAATAAACTTGTAATTCTAAAAAAAAAAAGAGTTAAAAAGATCAGAATAATAAGATCAAGAGAATAATAAGAATCTCGTTGTACGATCAGGTGACATAGAGGCTCTCCAACTCGCATTAGACAGAGACAGAGGTTTTAAGGGGAAACGCACGAAGAAATCGCAGAAACGAGTACGCAGAAGTGGGAAGAAAAATAAAAAAAAGAAAGAGAAAGATCTGACACCCGATAGAACTACAGAATCTCTCTTCGAAGAGCTTGTTTCGCAGGGTATTATCAAGCTCCATCACGAAATTTTCTTAAATGAGTTTAAAGGTGAAAAGTCATTTGCAAATTATGATCTCCGTGGGAAGGATAAAGATCCTCTTCCAGTTATCGGTATATTTGAATACATTATGATTACATATTTCTTTTGTAATTAATGTAATTAATGTATTTCTTTGTGAAGTGAAAATAGTTCTATATATACATATATTTATTATTACAAATAATTTGATATTTAATATTTCAATATTTTTGATAATTTTGCACACAAGAATTTAAAAAGTTTCCAAAATATTTATGTAAATGTAAAAAATACAGCCACACTATCTAAGATAGATAGTGTAGTGTCACATTGTGTGCTTACATTATGTTGCCAACTTGTAAAATATGCAAAATGCTAAATAGATTCCGCTGTATCTATAGTCTAGATAAAAAACAGAGAAAACTTAAAAGTTCTTAAATGTAAAACATAAAATTTAAAGTATATAATTTTAAATTTAAATGTTTTTTTTTTTACTTAGTTTCCTTGCATAATTTTACTAACTTAACTATTTTTTGTACATAAAATTAACATCTTCAAATTGATATATGTATATATACAAATACATATATATATATATATATATATATATACAGGGTGTCCCAGAATTGCCGTACAATCGCTCGTAGGCAGGTAGAAGAAGTAAAACTGAGTCAAAAAGTCCTGAACCATTTTTTTCTATTATTTATAATAAAGGAGTAATTATTGAGTAAATCAGGCCAATCAGTGTAGACCTTTAGCCAGGCACACGTCAGTGAGCGCTCACACACACCAGGCGTGCGGCTCACTGACGTGCGTCTGGCTAAAGGTCTGCGCTGATTGGCCTGATTTACTCAATAATTACTCCTTTATTATAAATAATAGAAAAAAATGGTTCAGGACTTTTTGACTCAGTTTTACTCCTTCTACCTGCCTACGAGCGATTGTACGGCAATTCTGGGACACCCTGTATATATATATATGTATTTGTATATGTCCATATGTACAAATATATATATATATAATGTATTTGTAGTTGTACATAATGCATATAAATATAAGAATTAATATGTGAAAATGAGAAATTATCAATAAACAATCTTTTTTGTCAAGAATATTTTTGCTGCAATTGTTTCTCAAATATGTAAAAAAATACTCTGCTTTCATATGAATTTTACTCAACTCGGAATATTTTTAATAATAAACTACTTACGCATTATAGGCGACATAAGACAACTGATTGCCGAATATTGTATACTTCCACTTGGTAACCAAGTTCTGAGAGAACTCACACCTCTTGTAAGATCAGTTCTTATAGCCGGTCCTCGTAGCAACGGCAAAAAGTTTTTAGTAAACGCGATCTGTACGGAACTTGGAGCCACGCTCTTTGACATTACACCAGCAAATATTGCCGGAAAATATCCCGGTAAATCGGGATTAATCATGCTTATTCATTTAATTTCGAAGGTTTGTATTATTCATGTTCGGTTAATTGTGAGAGAGAAAGAGAGAAAAATGTATTTGCGCACGCAAGTTTTGTAAACAGTATTTTTCGTCACAAACTTGAAATAGCAAAGAAAACGTTTCTGGTCGTTATAAAAGCCATTACAGCTTGCATAACTATTGAAATAACTAAAGAAGATGAGAAAAGAATAAAGATAGAGTCCTCAGCAACGCTCCAGTGATAATATGAATTAAGAATTTCTTACGAAAAAGTAACTGCAGTCTTGAAATAATTGACAGAATCTCGGAAAACTAACAAAAATAAAAATAAAACGATATTAAAACAATTACTTCGTCTATTTGTACACAATGAGAAGTTACAAGATGACTTGTAATTTGAAGGTATCGCGATTGCTACAGCCATCAGTGATTTTTATGGACGATGCGGAAAAACCGTTTGTGAAAAAGGTAGCAAAAGGAGATAAAACTGATCCAAAACGTTTGAGAAAAGATCTACCAAAGCTGATGAAAAGCATCACGAGCGAGGACAGAGTTCTGCTTATTGGTACATCTAACAAACCCTGGGACGGTGATCAAAAATTATTGTATCAGACATACGACAAAGTTATATACATACCTAGACCGGATTACGGCACTATATCTTTTATATGGAAGGACTTATTATATAAAGTAAATAAATATTTTGTGTGATGCGGAATAACAATATTGACAGTAAAATAATTTGTTTTTACACGCACATATTTGTAAAACAAAATTACATATATTTTAGATTTGTGTGTGTGTGTGTGTGTGTGTATGTGGCGTTCATTCTGTATATATTTGATTGTTTTATACAAGTTTACTTATTTATAGATTTATATTACATATGTGTGTAACATTTTTCATAGAAACACTTTTATTTCTAGTATTCGGGTATTAATCGACAGTTTGATACATCGGCTATGACTAAGGCATGCGATGGTTTCACAATTGGTACTATTTTAGCGACGATTAACGAGGTATTATATACACATTTTAAAATACACTATTATATGTACAATTCTAGAATTATTTTGTTCATAATGTTTTTATCTTTATCTGCGTGTGTCCTACGTTACAACAGGTAATGACTACAAAGCGCATGGTACAATTACGAACTCATCCGCTTACACATGTCGAATTGATAAATGCATTGAGTTTTAAAGATCCTGTATATAGCGAAGAGGAAGACGCATTTCTAGGTTTGTATAATAAAAAATAAGCGATAACAGGAAAAAAAAATAAAAAATATCTATCTCATACATGTAATCACAAATATACGCGATACTAGAATACTATATAGTTTAATTTTCTCTTTCTAACTTTATAGAATTCACATAAAGTATTTCGATATTTAATATGTTATAGCCTGGTTTTCCAAAACACCAACTTGTCGACGGAAACAAAGAGCTCTAGAATTAGAACTTGAGAAATTAAACGAAGCAAATGAATCACAAAAAAAGAAAAAAGGAAAATAAAACGCATAAAATCGTTTTTGTAATATAGAAAGCAATATGTTTTTACCTTATCAAAAACATCGTCGTAAACACTTCAATGAATCATCAATATTAGCTTACATTGTTTATTTCCGATGATGTTTACGTTGACTTTACAAGTACGAATAAAATTGTTTACATGCAACGACTTTAAGTATGCAATCATTTAATTTATAATATTAAGATTTTTTGATCATTTTAGCGCCGTACATGAGGATATTGATGAGATATATTTTCAATGATAATTCCAATAAAAATGATAAATAATACTCTTTATTATTTACTTTGTTTGTGTGACACAATGGCAAAAACTATGACAAATATAGTCTGGCATACATGTAAAATAAATCATCATGAAAAAAACTCTACCGTAAAAATATCCTATCAAATAATGTAAATTAATAATTTTACACATAAAAATTCAAAAAAAAAAACGTGCGTGAAACAAAGTTCTTACTTATATCATAGGTCAAAGCGTGACACTGATCAAATGACACGTCAGTGATGACATTTTACGATATTTTAAAGAATAACAAATTCACGCACGTATTATATTTTTTTTATTAAAAAGTTATTTTAATTATACTTATTAATACGTAATAAATGTTATAAGAGTTAAAAGTACCATATTAATTAGTAAAAGTACTATACTAATTAGTTGCTATTCGCTAATCTTTTTATACATTATATAGATTATATTAACTTAATTTTTACCACAGATGATCAGAAAATAGTTGATCCAAATGTTCCACGTAAACATCTATTTTGAAAATATAATATTATTAAGCCATGTGGGGTTTAGTTTTTTCTCTAATGTTTTTCTTTTTCTCTTATTTATTTAATCTTTTAATCTTCAGAACTAAGATTTAAAGGTTGATTCATACTTTAATTTAATATTATTAAATATATAAATCTTTAAAACAATATATAGAGTTCTCTAGTTTGTATAAATTTAAAATAAAAAATAAATTTACATCGAACAAAGATCTTATTAAATGTCCATATCAGTTACATGCGATATCTAATGGACGTCTAATAAGGTTTTTGTGGATTTTTTTTTTTTTATATGAGCAGACTGATTAAAAAGACGCAGAATAAACTTTGAATGCTGTTGTAAAAATATTAAATATTTATTTATTTTATTTTATCTATTTATTTTAAGTATAAATTTTAACTCAAGATTATTTTTTCTAATTCGTGAATACTTGTCGGATTCTTGATAGATTAGTTTTATTAAGAGATTATTTATATATTATATTGGCAATAATGTCGATCATGATTTGTTTGTATGATGTGAAGCAGACTAACGAGTGATTTCGTTTTTCAAGTCGCTTTCACGTGATATATTATGTGATAAGAAAAGTACGACCGAATAATCGATTATCTCAATAGCGTATATCATAAAAAAACAGAGAAAGAAAAAGAGAGATTTGGTCTTTCTCAGTCGATATCTATGTTGGTTTTGATTCGCGCAACTGCAATTCTCATCGTCATCACTTATAAAGCATCTGTGATACTAAACAGGATGCTTGGCTTTGGTCCACATCACAAAGGTCTCGTTAAACTCGATGATTAGTTATCTTGTGCACTTTCTTCGGCATTGAAATTAGATTCTCTCGCCTTATTCAAATCTACTGTTGTTGTCTGAAAATTGATGCAATTATATAAAAATATATAAGAAACTTATTATGAAAAACCTTTACTTCTTATTACATGTACACTATATATACATTTTTAACTCATCTTTTTTGGAAAAAAATTAATTTAAACACAAATAAAAAAGAAGAATGATATTTTAATCTTGAACTTCTACAGAAGTTATATGTAAAGGAATTTATACTTTGATCACTGATTTTTAAAAAATCTGATAAAAAAATCTTTTGTTTTTTTTTCAACATGTTATTTATTACATCACATAAACTGTATAATAAAACATGGTTTACCAAACAGGTTTTTGCTGAGATAAAATTTTTATTCTTTTTTTGAAATGTTCACTTCATTTACATAATTCTGCATCGCTATCAAGCATTGATACTATATAGGATGGAAAAAAAATACCTGAATATCTCAGAAAATATAAGTTTTACAGAAAAGTGTTTCAGACAAAAGTAGTATGGTTTAAAAAGATCTATTTACTGATTGTATTACTGTGACCTTGGATTGCGCCGCCAAGGTCACGGTCACATTGATTTTTTTAATAGAACTCCCTATTTTGCATTGCAGATTCTTATCGTCTAACTCAAGAGCTTTCCAAAACACTGTAATAAAGTTTATTTTCATTAAGTTACTTTTTGACTTATGAGGGCTGAATATTCTAATATCATATGAATAATACCGGCAAGTATATTGAGGGTTGAATATTCTAATATTCAACCCACAATATACTTGCCGGTATTAGCATTATCTATTGGCGTTATCATTCATTTCGAATGTTGCTCTATCCAAAAAAAACTATCTTAAATAAAAAGTTAGATTCTTTGTCAATTCTCTGCATCATGAATTCACAAAATTTGTTTTGATCGAAATAATCTTCGTAGAAAAAGTATCGGCGGTACTCTAATATTCAATCCTCATAAGTTAAAAAGTAACTTAATGAAAATAAACTTTATTATAGTGTTTTGAAAAGCTCTTGAGTTAGACGATAAGAATATGCAATACAAGATAGGGAGTTCTATTTAAAAAAATCAATGTGACCGTGACCTGACCTTAGTGGCGCAATCTAAGATCACAGTAATACAATCAGGAAATAGATCTTTTTAATCCATACTACTTTTGTCTGAAACACTTTTCTGTAAAATTTACATTTTCTGAGATATTCAGGCGTTCCGGTATAATTTTCCATCCTGTATATTATTATATATGTACATTATTGATCGAGCAGATAATTCTTATATGCAATTCAAATTATGCACTAATCAATCAGCATATTTATGTAACATAAATATTTATCTTGCACGATAAGTTTATGATATTTATTTATGAATCTTGCGTTTTTGTGTAAATTTTGAAATTTGAATTAATGCTAACAAAATTATTGAAATTCTCTATTATTGCTATAATTAAAAACTATTCGATTAAAATAAAAGACTAGAATGATAATACAGATAAATAGAACGTAAATGTTTATATGACATTCATATGATTTATATAATAAGTCATACAAACACACACACACACACACACACACACACACATTTCTTTTGAAGGATGAGAAAGAAGTTGATACATTGTTTGAGATTTAAATGTCAATAAAATGAAGTATAGATAAATATAAACAATCAAGATCTGTTACGAGCTTTAATGGATATTAAAATTTATTAAAGAAACAAAAAACTTTAATATTGTGTTATTGTGCGTGCTATTTACTACACGACCTTTTCAGGAAATCAAACACTATTACAGCCTATTGTGGACTTCTTAATGTAAAATCTATCGTTTCAATTTCTTCATCTACTTTTGCGAACCTTGCGATATGACGTGATTACGTATATTTATATATTTATCTTTGTTACACTGAAGAGGGCTCAAGTAAGAGCCGAAACGTTTGTTATTTGTAAATTTAATTTTTATTTCTCTGCGTTTTGTTTCTTTAATAAATTTTAAGATCTATTAAAGCTCGTAACAGACCTTGATTGTTTATATTTATCTATACTTATTGTTAGGTTATTGTTAATATCACGAGCGAATTCAATTATATATATCTTATGTCAATAAAATGGTTTGTTTATCTGAAGATAAATATAAAAGATCGATTACGAAATACCGATCTGAGAATAAGCATAACTGAAAAAAGCTTTCAAAAGGCATTTTTTTTCGTTGATTATAAAATTCAAAAAACAATTCAGTAAATATATAATAACGAAACTAGTTAAAATCATTATTGAAAATCTTGTTTAATTTAGCAACGTTTGTCTTTAAATTTAAATGTGTGTCTGTAACATACATTAATCTTATGTATAAGTAGGTATATTTTTGTTTGTGTAAGTAGGTTATTAATGTGCGACAAAGAAACAAATAACGCGTTTCTTAAAATTTACTAATTCACAAATATTTATGTTAAATACACTATATATATTCGTGATCTTGTTGCTCATCCAAATAAATAAAACAACATATTATATTATACGTTCAAATACTAAAAACGTGCATGAGTATAAAATGAATATACAGGATGTCTGACAATTACTTCAAAATCTCTCGTAGGCAAGTAGAAGCAGTAAAACTGAGTCGAAAAGTCCTGAGCCATTTTTTCTTTAATTAGTGAGTAAATCAGGTCAATCAGCACCGACCTTTAGCCGGGCGCACATCAGTGAGCCACGTAAAGCGCTCACGCACACCAGGCGCGCGGCTCACTGACGTGCGCCTGGCTAAAGGTCGACGCTGATTGGCCTGATTTACTCAATAATTTACTCCTTTATTATATGTAATAGAAAAAAATGGTTTTGATTCAGGACTTTTCGATTCAGTTTTACTCCTTCTAGCTACGAGACATGACATTTACAAGGCTTACGAGAGATTTTAAAGTAATTGTCGAACACTGTGTATATATGAATAGCAAACAGTTTTTTCGATACATATTATTTTTTTCTTTCCGTTTAATATGCTATTAGTTATTATTATATCAATTTGTGTATTTGGCACAAATGATACATAGCATTATAATATACGCTCGGTACAACTTTTAAGAATCATATCAATGCGATGCATTTTAAGCAAAATACAAAAAAATCTTATTAAGAATCTAATAAATTATACTATATATATTATTTTTATTAACAAAAATATATATGTAGATACACAAATATGTTTGTTAATAAGAACCTTAAAAAAAAAGAAAGTCGCGAAAAAGATCTTCAATACCTTGCGTAAATTTTCGATTTTATAATGTTAGAAACGAGAAAAAATCTAGAAAAATCGCTAAACTTTATATTTATTTAAAAATAAACAAAATCTTCACTTCATTTAAAACTAAGCAAATATTTCTGACTCTACAAAGACATGTAGAGAATCAAAAGAATATATTTATATTAAGATATATTGTACGGTTTTCTTTTGAGTCATATCGGCAAATTCAAGACTAAAAATATGAATGCTTTTGCGTGTTACACATCTAAGACGGTTTTTCTTGTTGCATAAAAAATAAACCGTGTGTTTACACAGAAACAAGTTTTTGCAAAAAGTGTAGAAACTTTTTTCTTGGTTGACATTTTAAAATCCAAAGATGATCGCGAGATATCGAAGCCTAAAAAAAGTGTACTTGAAGTGATCGACGAACACATGGTTGAGAATGCTTCTTGTGCACGAAAAAATATAAGAGTTATGTATACATACACACACAATTATACATACAAAATAATTCTTTAGTACGTTTATAGTTCACAGTGTTCTGAAATTCTATATCTACATGCTAATTAACAGATAATTACAATTCAATAGATAATTTACAATTCAAGTTTACCTAGTGTGAACAAAATAGAAGAATATTTAGTAGTTAAATACATAAAAAAATTTTAATTGTAAATAAAATGAAAATCTTTGGAATTGTTGACGTCTAATGGACATCGAATAGAATTCTAATTCTGGGAAAATACAATCAGCTGTTTTTTTTTCTTTTCTTCTTCTCTTTTTTTTTTTTTTTTTTTTTGTATCAAGATGGTTAGATGCGCTCTGATATTCACTGCCAGTAAAAATCTATACTTTACATATGCTATAGATTTCGAGTACTGGCGGTGAACGCAGCTTTAGTATCGGTAAAATCAAATGACGTAATGACACGTGAGTAGTATCATTTTTTAATTGTAATAAACATCTAAAAATTTTCAAAGAAAAAATGATTTTTTTTTTCATTAATAAATATATCATATATTGTTATTTAAAATAAATGTATGAAAAATGTAAGCAAGACGTATAAATGTGTAAAATGTTGCACAAAATCAGATACTAGATTTTTACTAGCATTAGCAGTTGAAAAACTAATCAATAAAAATTTGTTTGATATTAATTTTCCAACTTTTTCGATTGTTTTATCACAAAATTTTTTGTCGCATTTTTTGCTGCACAAGTCACAGACACACATTATCATTGCTGTTAATTTTTGTACAACCGATCGCATGATCACAAAGAGTATATATACTTTCTTATCGCAAGGTCGTTGCAATCGAAATCGAAATCGAAGTTTGCGTCATCGCGATTGTACGATTGAACGATTGATCGTTTATAGAATATAAAACGACACTTTTGCGATTATATACATAAAAATATAAATAATTAAAAATACACAAAAAACGGACACGTTCCGCGACGCAAAAGCAGCTAAAAGGCGCGGCGCGCATATGCGGTATCGATCCTTTTCGTTTCACGTGCTTCCAACCGGTATTCGCGCCATAGTAACGTTATCGTTACTTTCGATAATGCTGGTATCACGTAAAAACGGAAAAATGTGGGGAACCAAGACGTTGCAGCATGTGACAGACACATGCTCACAAATCCACCGATCACGATTGCAACAAGTGAGCTTATTCGATGGACAGGTCAAGTCGAACGCACTCCTGCTTCGTGACATCAGCCTACGGGATATTGTCGCGCGTTGCACAGACGCGCATGCGCTCACGGAAGTCGCGCTTCTATTGGTCGTCATCACATGGTCTGATGTCAGACCACGGGGACCATCCAATTCAATAATAAGATGCTTTAGTAGACGGGCCAGTCAGTGCTCTGTTTGATCGCTCAGCGGTCGGTCGGAAATTAGGCAGGAAGAAACAAGAGCGGTTCGCGCCGTCCATTGTGACAAATCCCGCGAATACACGAAAGATATCGGAGAAGCAGAAAAGAGACAAATCCCGCGGTGATTCAAAAAAACGACGACGACGACACATAGATTAGCACATTTTGTTCTTCGCTCCGCACCACGTTTCTCCAGGATTACGCACGCGAGTCAGGTGAGTCTGCACACGCGATCGATATCGTAAGGGTAGTA